TCATCCAATAATCTAAGTTCAAAAAGCAGTGCTTTAAGAAAGGGACCATCTTCAGGAATAGGCACATAACTTGTTCCGTTGAAGACTCTGGCTCGTTTTTCAACAGTTGGATACCGTCTGAATTATGGAAACAAAAATATCATAAATGGTTCTTCCAAGAAAAATAAAAATAGAAAAATCCAAAAAAACCCCAAAACAAAAACAAACCCAAAACACAAGACTAACAGTAATAACAACAAAACACACAATAACAAATACATACACCCACAAAATCCACAACCAAAACAATGTATCACACGTTAAATTTCTACTGTAGTAACTAAATGTTGTATACTTGGTATGTTGTCTCAAATTATAATGTCATTATTTATTACTGAAAATAGCTCAATTTAGTTAATTTTTTAAATAGGTAGAGTACATGGTTCTAATTCAAAATTCTAGTTTCTTGGTCACTCAGATTCCTGCTTCGTAGGCCAGGAAAGTATACTTGGACACTTTTTAGGCATCTATAAGGCCTTTTTTTTCTTTTCTGATTCCATCTTAGTAGAGCAGAATCAAAGAAGTGGTTCAATTTAACCTGCCATAATTTTGGATTCACTAGTTGAGATAATACAAATGTAAAAGGAATGTTCAATTCTACTCAGTTAATAGTGAATAACAAATACCCTGAGTCTTCTTGCCAACTCCTTAAAATGTAAAAATGTTTTAGCAATAAAAATGTTCATCTCTATGGCCCTGAAAGATATTATGAGGTAATAAAATTAAATTCTGAATAAGATGCTTTTACTTATTTACAAAACGTTATGTCACATTTTCTTAGTTTAAAAAAAAGATGGGCTTTCCCTATTCCTTTTCTCTCCACTCTAATGTCCAGAACAAAGTCATTTATTGATATTAACTTCTGTGTAAGTCACCTAACTTCCCTAAGTCTATTTTCTTATTTGCACAATAAAGGGGTGTCTAAATATATCAGCAATTCTCATCAAGAATCAAAAACACACCTGGCCAAAATAATTTTTTTTCATTAATACCCCTAATAAGATATTGATGTTTACTAAGAATTTTTAAAAAGAAAAATAGGAATGTATTCAAAGTTATCTCTATATATTAGTAAACTTCACTCCCATTATGATGTACTTTTTTGATTGAGAAAGGAAAAGATTTAGCTAGCCCTCCAGTAATGGCTTAGCAGCTGAATGCCATTTCTTTCTCTTGGTCTCTGGATAAGAATAGTTGAGAACTGTGGACTAAACTCCAGCCCAGTGTCTTACCCTTTGGTTATCTAGAGGATAATTAAAGTCCTTCTTAAGTGTAAGAATTTCAATGTTGGATGTAAAGATAAGAAGTTAATCTGGGGGGCACCTGGGTGGCTGGGATCGAGCCCCACATCGGGCTCTCTGCTCAGCAGGGAGTCTGCTTCTCCCTCTCCCTCTGCCTGCCGCTCCCCCTGCTTGTGCTCTCTCTTTCTGTCAAAAATAAATAAAATTAAACAAAACAAAACAAAACAAAGAAGCCAGACACAAAGTCTTAAAAAAAAAAAAAAAGAAGTTAATCTGGGACTGTACACAATACCTTGCATGTGCTCAATAAATATTTTTATTGGATGACTCAACCTATCATTTCAGATTTATTCTAGACCTTTTCTAAAATAGGACTCAAACCCTGGCCCTACAATTATGGGGTACAATAACAAACTAAGCCATACTGAAGCTGATACTATTACTATATATCTGGACAGCAAACTTCTAAATCAGAATCTAAACCAAGTTTTGTTTTGGGAAAACATAATTACATACAGGAACAATCATCTCCTTTTAAAAATCTTAAATTATGGCCATTAACCTTTGACATATATGTGGATAATATGCCAGAGTATGTACGCTTAGCCCTTACACCAGGCCCAAGAGCTCAGAAAATGGAAAATAATAAAACTAATTTCTTTAATGATACAGAATTAATAAGTGACAGATGAATTATTTGAACCCAACTTGCTGCCTCCACAGAGATGCTAAAAAGCCCACCCAAACATATCTGAATTTTTCTTCTGAAATATCCTGAGTACAATGAGAAAAAAAAACCCTGAAAACAACGAGTTCTTCAAGGAACTTATTTTTATAAGCAGTAAAAAAAAATTTATCTCTGTAAGGTATTAAGATAAGTTACAAAGTCACAGATATAAATACAGTATGGTACTGGTCCAAGAAGAGGCAAATAAAGTAACAGAACTGAAACAGACCAGTATTTATAAGAGAAATATAATCAACTATCAGTCCCACAAATCAATGAAAAAATCTATATGTATACCAAAAAAATAAAGTAACATACAGGAAAACTGGCCCACTATAGAGAAAAATATAATGGATTCCTCTATTAACACCACATCTGAAGATGGATTAAAGACCTAAACATGACCAATAAAATGATAAAGTTAAGAGACGATAATGTAAGAAGATAGCTTTGGAAAATAAGGGTAGAGTATGACCTCAACAAAACCCCCAAAGTACTACTCTGACTGTAATAAAATTAGTGGTTTGTTTAAACAAGTGATATATAAAGTTAAAAATGACAAAATGAGAGAAAATATCTGTAGTAGCTAAAAATGACAAAAGCCTAGTATCGAGAATATATGATGAATACACAAGAATACACAACGAATTAATTTTCAGGAGAAAATTAACATGAAAACAAACAAACAGACAAATAGCAACTCTCAAAGACAAGGATATGTACAAGCAATCCACAGAAAAGGAAATCCAAAGGGCTAACAATCACTGCTACACAGAGAAATGCAAATGAAAATAAGCTATCCTTTATAGCAATATTGACAAAAAGTAGAATAAATGTTAGGAAAGAATGGAGATATAGGAATCTTTGCTCACTGCTGATGAGAAGTAGAGAAAGTATTCTGGAAACTGGAGAAAGTATTCTGAAGAGCTAATTATTTGGCAATATTTAGTCAAAATCAGCATAGATAGACCCTATGAGCCTTTTGAGGATATCTACTGCATCACCATTCTGATGGCTGAGTTGGAGGCAACCTGGGATTATCATCACTAGGGGAAGGGGACAGGTAAAACATGAAAGATGTAAACCATAGAGTACAAAAGAGCAATGGCTTAGATCTGCACTGTCCAAAATAGGAGCCACTAGCCACATGTGACTATTTAAACTTAAAATTAAACAAGACTGAGTTCCTCAGTTATAATAGTTACATTTCAAAAGCACAATAGCTACATGTGGTTAGTGGCACAATATTAAACAACATAGATTTAGGACATTTCTCATGTCCATCATTGCAGAAAATTCTATTGGACAGCGCTGCTCTGGATGAACACAAAGTAACATGGATGTTTCTTAAAAATAGTGCTGAGAAGTCCAGCATATATAAGAAAATGAAGTCTATAGCACACTTAATTGTGTAATTTGAAAAATGCACAAACACAAAATAAAGGGATAGCAACAAACACGTAAGAGTTACCTGTGAGGAGGAGGAGAATGGCAGAAATAAAGATACTCAAAGGAATGTATAAGTACTTTGGACCAACCAATGAGGCTCCTGAACCATACTAAATCTTATTAAACTCCTTACCTGAGGTACAACAACAACAAAGCAAGCCAGGTATCTTGGGAGAAAATGGCAAATTTTAACTCTGATACCCTCAGTAACAAAAAATGTTTGGGTTGTGAAGAGGGAATTTTTCATATCCACATTGCCAACCACTTTCATTTAAAATCACACTCATCTTTATCTGACTCAATCTCAATGCAGAGCTATGCTACCCCCCTACAGAGCTTTCCTCAGGGAAGAATAAATATATTGGCAAGAAAGAACTGTCAACAGCCACCAAGAATAAAAGGTGATACGGATTAGCGAACTGCCACTTACATTTCACAATGAGTTATTGTATAATTCTCACCACAGAGCTATTTTGATAGAATGTGGCGTATTCTAAAAGTGGAGCCAGATCAGCCTACACAATCTAAGAAAAAGTGAATACGATTTTATTTTTTGTACTTTTCCAGTTTTCTTCAACAATTAGGAACTTTAAAGTAACCCACCTGAAAGTTTCTAAGAATGAAACATAATATGAAAATAACAGCCTTTTACTGCTCGGCAAAGATTTTCCCGAAGAATGAGCTAAAATGTCCTTGAATGATCTTTATTAACGAAAGTAGAAACATCTGAAACATGTTCAGTGCTCAGTAAGTTTCCTTTCCTTTCCTTTCCTTTGGTCATCTCCATCTCAATCCTAAGCAGGTGAAGTTAATTTTTATTACAGTAATACTAATATTGAAAAACACATAATAATATGTGCCAAACATCAACACATTTAATTCTCACAATACTATTAAGTAGTGGTGTTAAAATTTCCATTTAACAGATGAAACAGAAGGTAAGTAACTCGCCCAAGGCGGCGGACAAAGACACATCCCAAAACTACAGTACATTATCAATCCCTCCGATCCATCCCCCCTGAGAATTCAAACTGCATTTACCTGGAGAATCTGACGGTGCCACAAAGTGGAGTTCCCGGCTCGTGGCTTATGAGCCACACTGCCCGCTGGGCCATGACAAGCCTTAAAGCATCAACTCATCCCTAAGGTCGCCACGGAAAAAGGACGCAGACCGGCTTTCTCAGAGGGGTTTCTACCGGAAGATCCGAGGCTCACCCAACCTGAGCCACCTTCTGTCCCACCACAAACAGGTTGGGCTCAGCAGAGACGCTGGCTCCTTCAGCAGGGGGAGTGACTAAAACCTGAGTCCCTCCTGTCAACACATGCCACAAAAGTTCTGTGAATCCTCACCTAGAATGCCGAGAAGCATTCCTCCCCAAGAATCCCAGTACTTTCTTCCTCTAAGGGCCACTTCCGGGACGGTGGCCCACAAGGATCATGCTTCCTCACTCGCCCCAGCGACGAGCCTCTCTGCGGTTCACCGGCTGCAGGCTTCCCTCCCCGGCCCCTCCCGACAGCCAACCCCGCGCGCGCAGCTCCACTTCCGGCGTACGAGGCGGTGACAATGGGAGCGGCGCGGGCGGCGTCGGGAGGCAGCTGACAGGCGTCTGCGGCTTCGCTTCATGGCCGCCCTCCCGCCCCGCCTGGGCTCTGTGGGGAGTAGGGGAGCCCGCGGCGGCCCGGAGCCAGAGCTGGCGAGCCGACCGGGGACCTGTGCGCGGCGCCGCTGAGGCGCAGCATGTGAAGAGGAGACGGCTTCCAGTGCGAGGCGAGCCTCTCAGCCGGCCGGGATGGCTACGACGGCCGAGCTCTTCGAGGTGAGTCCCGGCGGCTCTTCGGGGAGTGGCAGGCCCGCGCTGCGGGCAGCGAGGTGGGCGGGCGGAGGAGCGGACGCAGCCCCGGGAGGAAAGGTGCGAAAGGCGAGGGGTGGGGTGGCGGCTCCGGTGGCGGCGCGGGCGGAGCGTGAAATGGGGGAGGGGTGGCTTGGGGACCCGGGTGGGGAGGGAGCAGGGAAGGGAACCTGGAGTCGGAAAGGAGGAGGGTTGGTTTTGTCCGCAGGGCTGGAGAGGAGCCTCGGAGGTTTAGGGGTTGGAAGATGTACTCGGGATGAGAAGTGGGAAAGGCTGACTCAGGGCGCGGAGAGAGGAGCCAGCAGCCCCAGGTTGGGCGAGCCCCGGCTTGTCGCTTGGATCCTCGCGCAATATTCTAAGGGGACCACCTGAGATTGGGACGCCTGGGGGCTTCTTGCGGTTGAGTAATTAAAATTATTTCGTTAGTAAACGTTACAAGTGGCCAGTTTTCCTTTACATTCGAAAAGGCTGAAGTGTTTTTTTAGGACAATAAAAGGCCTACTTAGCCCTTCAGACCGAAGGCGGAGGCGAAGCTAGAAATTAACATTTATGTTCGGGTCTCAAGGAATTTAAGTGTATTTTAAAACCACGTGAAGGCACGCTCGAGAATCCTTAGCTCCTGAGACAATGAGCATTCAAACGTTTCCTGGAGCGTTTTCACTCTCTAAAACTTTAAAATTTAATTTAGTGAAATTCAGTGTAAGAAGCAGCTGTGATGTTGGAGATAAATAGAATAGGAAAATTCTGATTGGACCACCAAACAATGAAACCTATGAAGGATCCCTTTTTGTGAAAGACATGAAAACAGATGTAAAGAAAAAGGAAGCAAAGACCCTTTTTGTGTGTGCTTGTGTTTCAAATTGAAAAGCAAAAGTGTAAGTAATAATTGAGAAGACTGCAGTTGACGTTAGAGAATTTCTCCGCAAGTGAAGATTGGATTCTTTTTCTGCTTAAGAGTCAGCAGTTTTTTTGGCTTAAAATTTGAATGCCACAGTTTTTACAACAATTGGGAACTTTTCATTTGTTACTGTTACTATATTTGGGGGGTTCCTGTCAGCTCTTGGATAGATAATGCTTTTTGTTGAGAGGAATAACATACACCATTGTTTAAAATAACTAATAATCAAATAGTAATTTGTGAGTGAAGAATTATAATTACAAGAAAGAATTTGGAAAAATTAATTGTATGTTCTCAGATGTAAGTGTTGGGAGGTATATTGCATTAACTTCTCTAATTCCAAAATTGTGCCATCTGTTTATTGATTGATGCAGGAGCAGGGAGGTTGTTGAAAGCTTTTACTGCGTGTTTCTGGGCAAATACTAAATAGTTCTGTTCCTTGTTTTATCTTTCACATCTTATAAAGGTAGAAAACTTTATGAAGTTGAGATGTCTGATTTGCTACATGAATACAGACCAGCCAACTATTAATAGAATACTTACTGTTTTCTTACATGGCTCATAAGGCATTAACCTGTGACTTAATGAATCCTGCTTGACATTCCCAGTTGTATCTAAGACCATATTATGTCTGTTTTTCTTTAAATGTTTGACCACATGAGTCCACCTAACTTAACTGAAAATATATTTGATTTCTGCCCCCCTCCCCCCCAGGGTAAAGGGGAGAGAAGGTAGATATATATATATGTGGGTATATATATATATTTATTTATTTATTTTGGAAGTAAATATATATTTGCTTTCTAGGGTCATGCTATTTAGTAAAGTAGTTGAACCAAATTAGGGTTTAGTTTAGCTGAGTGACTTGTTATGTGTAACTAGTAATATGCACTTAACTGATCAGTGATGACAGAGACAGACCAGTCCTCTGGCCAAAGGGTTCATAGGGCAACCTTAAACATGCTTATAGATCTTAATTCATGTGACCTCCTTTTGTTGCTTCATCAAAATTAAGAGCCTATTATGTTAAAAGTTATAATTAAATGTTAATAGTTACAATTAAGAAATGTATTTATCTTTTCAGCCCACAGAGGACTCTGTTCTTGGATAAGTTTTCAGCCCTAAGGAAAAGTTGGTCTTTGCTTTAGAGTGAGGAGGCAAACAAAAAACAAACCTCAGTCATCACTGCCATTTCCTGTTGCTACTACCATAGGATCTAGATTGTAGGACGTATCAGGGAGTGTCTTTTTCTCTTCCCTTTCTTAGTCACAGCTGGAGAACTGTAGGAAACAGAGGTCAGGATGTAGTCAGGATATTTTGTTTTTATACATCCTGGTTTTAATGCACGATTAAGTTGAATTCTGCTTTCATTTCCACATTGAAAAAGAGGTTAAATCAATGCAGAATTATGCTTTGAATCCTTGAAATTTCATAAGTGTTGACTCTACTTCTTTTAAAATCTTATTGTTGATCCTATGAGACTTCCTTTTATAACATAAACACCCTCATACAATAAAATCAAACTCCAGGATATTTCTTAAGTTGGCGAAATGCTTTAGTAATAGATGATTCAGTTACTTTAATAGTGTATACCATGGAAATTGAATTTCCATAGTTTCAACTCTTGTTGACAAATTTTCTGAAAGATTCTATCTCCAATGATTCTAAATGATTACCTCAGGATGGACGCTGTAAACAGGCATTCCTACGTGGTTTAGATTAGTTCCCTGCATATAAAAAGTAGCTGGGGTAGTAAATTCCTCTGTTGTCACAAGTATTCCTCTCTTCTCTTACTGCACTACTGAGGACCTTGTACTCCTCTCTCACTTGCTGTTTTTCTCTCCTGTCATTCTTGGAGTCTTCTTTTTTGGGCAGGCTTCCTTTATGGTAGAGTTCTTTGTTAACCAGGGTCAATTACCCATTTATTCAACAAATATTTGTTGAATACCTATTAAGTTCAAGATAAGGTGCCAAGATTAACGAGGCTGCATGTCTCAAAGGCATGTCATAGAAATAGTAATACTATGAAATGTGCTGCAAAAAACCCAAAATGGTTTAGAGGCCAAATAAGTTTTGGAAATGGGCATACTTTGTTTTGTTAGAGAGTTACAACATACCTTAGTATATTAAAGAAGTATATTATTCTGAGAAGTTTATTTCCCAAACTAGTTGACTGTGAGACTGTTATATTTTCTACTGCTTGTTAATTTTGTGAATTCCATGAAATGTACTTTGGACAATGTTGAGTTACATATAGAACCTACCCTTATTATTAAATGTGGGGAGAGAATAAAGATGTATAACTGTGTACACTTGAAATAAAGTTATAAATGGTGTCAAAGATAAAGTGCTATAGGAGTTGAGAGAATGGGAAGATTACCTCTAGAAGTGGGAAAGGAATAGGAAGTGGTATTTGAATGATATATTAAGGATCTGTTAGATTTGAGTTGGTGCAACTGGGTGGAGGGACTTTCTAATAAAGCAGACAATAAAATCCAAGACATAAAGGGAAGTAAGTTTAGATCCTTGAGGCAAAGGAAGAGTTCCACTTTGGTGGAGTATAGCATGCATGAAGAAGAGGAATTGCATGTGAGGTAAATTGGGGTTTAATTGTGGAGGTCCTAAATGCCAGGATTAGGAACTTAAGTGTTTTCTTTCCTGTAAATGGAGGTGCCTTGATAATTGTATTTGAGGTCAGGTAATTTGACTATGGTAACAATGGTTGTTTGACCTCCAGATTAGAATTTAAATAGCTAAGAACACATTTTTGCACACAAATACATTTATGTTTCTTGGATTTTCAAACTAAGTTACAAAAGTAAACAGTTACTGAAAAAGATCTCTCTTGTTCAATTAACTAGCTAAATATATAGTAATGAACATGAGATATATAAATGTGGACCACCCCCTTTACCTTCTATTTGCTGAAATGCTGCTTATTTTAGCCATATTAGCTGTTAGATAATTGTGTGTGGAACCTGGCTACCAATTAATTAATTATCATGTATTTGAGAAAATGTGTTCATTCGGCAAACATTTATTGAGTACTAGGGCAGAAGTCATCTCAAGTACTGGAGTTAAAAGACAGTTTAAGTTAAAAACCTAGTTGGGGGAGTGAAAGGAAAAAAACTCTATTCTCTCAGCACTACCACTAGTCTCAGTACATCATTTCTGACACCAGATGTGTGGGGATTTTACCTACAACATTTCAGTCCAGTTTTTCAGCAGACACCGACTGGATGTTCGACAATTAATTTCAATTCTGACACTGTCTACCTGGAGTTAGCATCAGATCCCAGAAGTTGAGGGCTCAGTACAACAAGTATGCCCCCCACTTCAGATACCAGTTGCAGTCCAGGTTGTCACCTGTGCTTCTGACAGACTAGCTAAAAATAAGAGTTCTCATGACCCCCTCCTCAGGTTTGATAATTTGCTCGAACAGCTCACAGAACTCAGGAAAACAATTTACTAACTAGATTACTGGTTTATTATAAAGGGATATGACTCAGAACAATCAGATGGAAGAGATGCCTAGGGCAAGGTATGGGGGAAAGAGTGTAGTACTTTCAAGCCGTCTCTGGGTGACCTTGATGTATTCAGCAACCTGGAAGCTCTCTGGACCCCATACTTTAGGGATTTTTATGGAGGCTTCATCACATAGGAATAATCAGTTATTAACTTAGTTAACTCAGGAGTAGAGGGACTTCTAATCATGCTTGATCTTTCTGGTGACCAGCCCCATCCAGGAGCCCTGTTGCTTCAGTAGAATAAAAGACACTTCTGTCACCCAGGAAGTTAGAAGATTTAGGAGCTCCACATAAGATGTTCCTATCAACCACATCACTTTGGAAATTATAAGGGTTTTAGGAGCTCTGTGTCAGGAACCAGGGTCAAAGACCAAATAGAACAAAAGATGTTCCTAGCACATTTATCACTTAGGAAAAAACAAAGGTCTTAGGAGCTGAGTACAAAGACTAAAATATATATTTCTTGAAATAAAATATACATTTCTTATATTGTGGTATCATAGGGAGACATATGTTAACACATAATACAGTGTAGTATGAGT